AATAATATATTAATTAAAGAAAGATATATAGTAAGATCTCTTAAGAGATAGAGTACTATTTAGTTAAGGACGGTCTCGAATATTAAGAGCTAATTATAAAGCGCTTTCGCTAAATAAGATAGAAGCTTTTATAAAGAATATATTCTTCTCGAGATTATTTATCTTTCTTCTATTATATATTATCTTCCGCTTATTTCTTACTTATATTTCGTAAACTACGTCTAAAAGCTCTTCTATACTAAATACTATATAAATATCCTCTTAATCCTAATAATAGTAGTATTAGAAATCGATATTCTAATAGAAGAAGCTAATTTATAGAGAATATATAAACTTCTAGAAGAGAATCGTCTTAGAAATCTAGAAAGAACTATAGTAACTCTCGCTAATTATCTACGATACTATAGAACTCTCGAAATCTTTACTTCGATATCTATAGATAGTCTATTAAGAATTACTCTTTTATCTATAGATTAGATAAATATACTTAGATTCTTATCTAGATAGTAGTATCTATCGTTAGATTTATTCTAAGATATTAGCGGAATAGAGCTTAAAAAGCCTCTAAAATATAAAAGTTATCGAAATAACGACGCGATATAAGTCTAGCTAATTTATATTAAAAGATAGTTAGATATAAAGAAAGTCGTTAATAAATATTCTTTAACGAACTACGAATATATCGCTTTAGTAACTTTCTATCTTAAAGATAATATTTTAATATAATAGAATTTTATATATTAAGATATAAAATATAGTCTTAGAATTAATTTACTTTTAACTAACTAGAAGATATAGAAGAAAGTATTCTAGACGGCGTTTAGCGACGTTAGAATATAGAAGTAATATTAAAACGAGTTCGACTTTTTTAAGTAAATAGAAATAGTATAAGAGTTTTAATAGAAGATCGAAACTCTTTAACTATATCTCGATCTTTACTCTAGCGACGTCGAATATCTACTCGTTTTTAAATAAGAGTTTAGAACGACTATTTAAAACCGAATAGAACTTCTTCTAGATATTATACTTCTTTAAAATTATAGAAATTACGCTCTTTTTATAAATAAAAGCGAAAAAAAGATATAAATTAACGTATATAGAATAGTCTCTCTTCGAGATCGCTCGAGAAGATTTTTCTCGAGAAAATCTTCTTAATTTCCTCGAACTATCTAACTAGATCGTAAGAACGCTAATAGTAATATCGAGATAGTTCTTAACGATCTTCGACTAAGATTCTTCTCGTCTATCTAGACTAAAATCTTACGTAGTCGTAGAAATAGATATAGATTCTTAAGTAGCTTTTATTAAAAGTATTAAGATAATAGTCTTTACTTTAATTATAGAGAAGTCGGCTATTAAAAGAAAGATTACTCTAATCTAAAGAAGTCTATAAGACGAGACTATTAAGAAAAAGAGAAGAGTCGCTAGATAATAGAGTATCTAGCGATAATAAAGAAGTTATAGACTCTTTAAAGACTATTAATACGAGTTTATTAGACTTTAACCCCTCTTTCGATAATCTAATAGATATTACTATTAATATAACCGAAGTTTTTAATTATAACTTAGATTATATCTAAGAATATAATATCGCTAGCGAATTACTAGAATAGTATAGTAATTCTTATCTCGTTACGATTCTTCTTAATATAGACTTCGATATCTTCTACGTCTTAAGAAGAGTCGCTAAACGACTAAATAAGAACTATAAAATTATTTAAAGATTATCTCTTTAAGTACGTCTTACTAATAATAAGACGACTCTCTCTAATTAAGCTATTATAATAAGTTTAACCGTTAGTAACTTTTAAGTTTAAATAATATTTCGTATCTTAAATTAGAATATATATAACGTTATTCTTAGACTTAACTAACTAAAGAAATATAGCGCTTTCTAGAATTTTAGTTACTTACGTATAATAATACGTAATAGAACTAGAAAATTAACTTTAATATCTTTTCGACTCTTTTAAACTATTAACTATAAAGATATCGAAGAGACCGAATTAAATCTACTTAGCTTTCGAAAGACTAAGAAGATAATTTCTAAACTATCTATACTTAACTAGACTTCTATCTTATATTTTATACGAGAATAGAGTTCTAGCGATAAAGTAATCTTTTTAATATCTAGAACTAAGAATAGGCGTTTTAGGCGTATTCTTAAAAGATTTAAAATAATATTTCGAGAAGAACTATCTACTAAGTTTCTAACGAAGCGGAATATTAAGTACGAAATCGATATAAATAATACTAAGTCTATTAACTTATTCTACTACTCTTTATTAAAAGAATATCGAGATAAATAAGATTAATAAATTTATACTTTACTAGAATAGAATCTAATCTAGCTTTTAGAAAGTTTATAAAGTTTCTCTATACTCTTTATATCTAAATCTAGAGATAAATAGCGAATATATATCGACTATTATCTTCTTAATAATATTACTATTAAGAATATCTACTCTTTATTCTAAATCTAGAACTATCTTAATACTATTAAAGTCGCTTAATAGCTCTTAAAGGCCGATTTTATTTAAGAATACTACTAGATCTAGATAGAAAAGATATTTATTAAAAAGATCGTCTTTAATACGTAGTCTAATAAATACGAGTTCTTAACTATATTATTTAGACTTACTAACGTTTCTTTAATATTTTAGAGAATTATAAATAATACTCTATAAGAATTTATTAATAAGTTTATAATCGTCTACTTAAATAATATCGTTATCTACTTATAGATCGAAGAAGAATATAAATACTATCTTAAATAGATATTTAAAGTACTATATAACTATAAACTATATACGAAGCTATCGAAGTATATTATTAGTATCTTATAAATAATACTCTATAAGAATTTATTAGTAAGTTTATAATCGTCTACTTAGATAATATTATTATCTACTTATAGATCGAAGAAGAATATAAATACTATCTTAAATAGATATTTAAGATACTATACGACTATAAACTATATATAAAGCTATCGAAGTATATTATTAGCGTCTAATAGCTTAAATTCTATAGATATATAGTAGATAATAGAGAGTATTAATCTACGTCTATAAAGATATAAGCTATTCTCGAATAGCCTTAGTCTCGAAACGTATATAAAGTACGTTAGTTTTTAGATTTAGCTTTCTACTACTAAAGATTTATCTAAGACTTTATAAAGATTACT